GGCAATGTTCCAAGCAGGGGAGCAGCAAACGCAAGAATACCAAGACAGGAACGTCTTAAAGAACAGAGCACTCCCCTGAATCCTGCAGGGGAGTAATAAGACATGAGTCACTGAAATCACAGGGGGATATGTGGAACATTAAGGCTATGATAAAGATGTTCACTTTATCTCTGAATCAGATGGGAAGCTGCTATAGGGTGTAAAAAGGAGGAATGGCATGATCTGATTTAGGGTTTTAAAAGGTCATTCTACCTGCTGCATTGAGAATAGACTAGGCCGGAGGCAGGGGTTCAGGGAAGTTGGAAGCAAGAATACTGATTAGGAAGTCATTGCATGAATCCAAGCAAATATAACAGTGGCTTCTCTATCAGAGAAGGAGTGATAGAGGCAGTGAGAAGTGGTCAGGTTCTGAACACATTTTGAAGGTAGAAGATTTGATAACCAATTTGAAGTGAGGTATGAAAGCAAGAGAAGAGTCCGGGACATCTCTAAGGTGTTTTGCCTGAACAACTAGGAGGACAGTGCTGTCACCAAATGAAGTGTGGAACACTTGTCAGAATAGGTTTGTTTGAGGTATACTAAACTTCAGAAGTTTATTAAACTTCCAAAAGATGACATTGATTAGGTAATATGATGGTTTTTTGATGGGTCAACTTGGTTAAGCTGAACTATGAGAACAAAGGGAGGGAAGTATCCATTTTGTAGCATACACACATGTCATCCCAGCTATTCAGACACTAATATAGCTGCCACTATGAAGGGATTTTGCCGGTACTAATTAAAGTCTCTAATAAATTTGCTTTAAGCTAAAGAGATTAACTTCAGTGGGCCTGACCTAAGCAGGTGAGTCCTTGATGTGCTGGAGGTCTCCCGACTCCAATCTCCAAACAGCATGCAGGTCTACAACTGCTTTCTCCTCACTGCATCATCCCTGACAACTGCCTAAGGATAAGAGCTTCTGGCTATACCTGTAGGGTTCCTTCCTCCTCATGATCCTGACTGTCCACCTTACAATTGTGGACTTGTCTGGCCAGCCCCCACAATCACATAAACCAATTCCTTATAATAAATCTTGATAGATGACAGGTAGAAAAATAGATAGACAGATAGATAATAGATCTTACTAGTTCTGCTTCTCTGACTGAACCCTGACAGATACAGGCAATTACATGTCAACACAGTATTCAGGAGAAAGCTCTAGACTGGAGCTGTAATTTCAAGAGCCATTATCATAAAGATGGTACTTAGAGCCATAGACTGAATTAGCTCCCCAAAGGAGAGTATGAGACCCTGGGGAGAAGAGGAAGAAGCAAAGCCCCCCCCTTTTACCCTCTCTCGCATCTGCTCCATTGCAGTCATCCAGTCCTTCTTTCTGTCCTACCTCAGGGCCTTTGCCCTTGTCCTAACCTTGGGCTGGAACTCTCTTTCTTTTGTATGACTGGCTATTTCTCATCAGATGTTACCATCTCCAAGAGGCCTTCCAGATCACCCTTGCTGAAGTTTCCACCTCCCACCCCACCTATCTCATTGACCGATTTTATTCTCTTCAGAAAATTGATAATGATCATAAATCTTTTTACATATCTGTTTACATGTTTATTATCTGGCCTTACCTCTACCCCCCAAAATTAAACTCCATAAAGCAAGAACTTAGACTGTATTCTCATTGCATGAAACATGCAGGGATCAAGAATATGCAAGGGCCATAAGGAATCTCTGTGAGAAGAAGAAAATGGAGTCCCCATTGTGTGATTGCAACACCACAAGCACACAGACTGGTTTGTGAGGCAGGGACTGGATTTCAGCCCTCACATATACCGGGGGCCCTTGGGCAGGACACAGTCTGTAAAACTGTATGCAATGGCTCTGGTATTAGATAGTTGATACACATTTATTAAATTAACAAATGAAACAATCTACTTCCCTTTCCTCTACCTAACTCAAAGCTGCACCATGACTTTCACGGACCTTAGACAGTTTTGCTTTCATGAGTCCACACCTCCACCAAAAATATCAAAAATTATATTTTATGACTATGTTGGCATAAATACAAGTGTATTAATAGTAAAAATTAAGACATTTTCTTTGACCTAAAAGTTACTCTTTGTCTTCATATTTAAAAAATTAAAACATGGGGGCGCCTGGGTGGCTCAGTCGGTTAAGCGTCCGACTTCAGCCAGGTCATGATCTCGCAGTCCATGAGTTCGAGCCCCGCATCAGGCTCTGGGCTGATGGCTCGGAGCCTGGAGCCTGTTTCCGATTCTGTGTCTCCCTCTCTCTCTGCCCCTCCCCCGTTCATGCTCTGTCTCTCTCTGTCCCAAAAATAAATAAACGTTGAAAAAAAAATTTTTAAAAATTAAAACATGGAGTGGGCCTCTGAAAGTATTGTGGCTCTAGACATTGTCCCCTCTGTGTCTAACAAATATATCAGCTTTGATCTGAATATAAGTTTCCTATGGACAAGGACTTAATTTTTGTTTACCCTGTATCTGGAAAATACGGACACATAGCAGGCTTTCGATAATGTTTGCTGCTATGAATGATAAATGCCTCAGTGAAAATAATACTTATCTGATCCCTAAATCTTTGTATTTAATATGTACACTCATTAGAAGTCACAACTGCATGAATAACAGAGCCAAACTCACCTTCTCTTCATATTCAGCTTCATATCTTGCACAAGGTTGTTGGGTAACATCTGGGCCATTGAACTTGGATATTCTTAGAAGAAGCTGGCGCTGTGCATATACCAGGAGCGGTGTCACTTGCTCTGTGTATCTCTCACTAGACAGGGGTAGAAATACATTGAAAAAGAGACATTCATTAAAATACATTTTTAAAACTAACGCTTGTCACTTTCATTTGCCCTTACAGTGATACTTACTGTGAAATTGTATTGAACTGGATGGCAAGTGATACTAGTGTCTCCCATTTTTCCACTTGATATAAAACCTCCAGAGACTTTAACACAAAGTCATGGATCCATTTCAAATCAACCACATTTACATCATCCAATGGATCCTCAAAATGAAGGCTAGAACCACCATTATCATTTTTAATATTTCCATAGCAGCTTGGAACACTGAACTCTCCTTTTTCTTCAATAACCTGCAAGTAGCACATGGAAAAATAATTGTGTATTTTCAGATTTTACTACACACTTTTTCCGGAAACCAAATGTGATAAAAATATAACATAGAAAAGAACTGAAGACAGAAAAATTGAAATGTTTTTATTATGCAAATCCAAGCTATTCAACAGAACTTTCTATGATGATGGAAATGTGCTGTCTGTGTTGTTTGATACAGTAGCCACTAAGCATGTGTGGATACTGGAGCTATTGAAAAATGACTATTGCAGCTGGATTTTTAATTTTACTTAATCTTAATTAAGTTTAAATTTAAATAGCCACATATAGTCTAGTCATTACCACATTAGATAGCACAGACTGAGGTCTATACTTCCTGGTACACAGTCACTATCTATGTAAGTAAGGATATTAAACCAATAAGATTAAGTTTTGAGGAAGAACAGGTTTGAGTATATACAAATAATTAAGTTTCCATAATACATTGGTTGCATTCATCAGTTTGCAGCATAATATGTCCAATTTCCCAGTGCAAAGGTCAAACCTATGGAGAAGGAAATGTAGAAAACACAGTTTTTGCCTAAGTTAAAGAGATACCATGTAATTAATATATTAATTTCCCATGAGTCCCTGATGCATTTGTGTATACCCCTAGAAATTCTTGAGACAAACAAAACCCCTTAAATCCACCTATAAGCCAGGTTGCAGCCCAACAAATAGTTGGGTAACACAAGACCAGCCCCTCTTAAGCTGGTGTTACCATTAAGCATAATCCATGCATAGGGAAAGTAAGGTATCAACAAAAGTAGAGGAAACATCTCTAACAAGATTCATGGTCCTTGAAGTTGGAAGAAACCTAGGGAGTCATCTGGCTGTGCACTGCAATATGTATACCTCAAGTCAGGCTGTGTAGGTGTAAATAATAGTTGTGTCACATGTGACCTATGTGAATTTGCCTTCTTAGCATGGTCCCTGCACATGGGACATACTCAATAGGAGGTAGTTTCCATTTTATTGATGTTATGAGCTCCATCCCTCTAATCCACTGATTCTACAGTATGACTTCCAGCAGCAAAGAGCTGCATAAAGAGCTATCTCCATTTCCTTTACCTCAGGGTTCCAAGTGGAGGCACTCTTGGCCTTTACTCAATCCTCTTGGTAAGTGTGGAAGAACTCAACCCTGTCCCACTCAACTTTTCCCAGGTGGCTGCTCTATCAGAACCTGCCTGCCTATAGGATGACACATTCTTCCTTTAGACATGGGTCAATTTCCTGGGCCAGGCTGAAATAACTTTCCCTGGGCCATCCCCAAAGAAGGGGGGTATCTGCTATCGGTTAGTCATGCCTAGATCTACATGGTAAGTTTACTCCTGGGATGAGGGATAAGGAAGACCTCTGTGGTTTCTATATATTCCAATATAGTCTTTATCAACAACAAAGCTGATATTGTACCTCCAATCATCAAGAGGGAAAAAAGTATTATCTATTTACTTCCTAATTTTGGTAACATTACCTAACAACATTGAGAAATAAACAGGAATGGCATTTGGGGTCAAAATAGCATATGGAAAGTGAATTTTCTGGCATGGTAAAGACAAGTCATTTAGTTCTGAAGATTAAGTATGGGCCATGTGTAATTTTTAAAAACTTTTTCTTAAAAAAAATTTCTAACACTTACTAACTATAATAATATAATCCCACCTAACAAAGGATATTAACAAAAAAATCCTCCAAAATGTTACTGAATAATTACTGCTCACATTTTCTTCAGATCTTATAAATTTTTTGATTGCCTTGAATGGGATCCATTTCAAATGGGTAAGCTCCAAACATTGCAATTATTTATGTCTTTTAAGGCTTTTTTTTTTAACCTGTAGGTTCCATTTCCTCTTTTTATACTTCAATTTTTTGATGAAGAAGCCAGATTGTTTGCCCTGTAGAGTTCCCATAGTCTGGATTTTACTGATGCATCCCCACAGTTTCATTCTAAATGTTTCTCTGCCCCCTGGATTTGGTTATATTTAATTGCTTGGTTAGATTTAAATGCTTGCTCTGATTTATTGTTTTCCAACAAGTGTACTTCACAGGTATACTTCATCCTCCCATGAATTCATAAAGAATTGCAAAATCCTTATATGAATTTCAACATTCTTTCTTCATTTCTTACCTGAAAATTCTATAAAGAAAAATTTCTCTTCATCAACTATCAACTATTTGGTATGGTTCATATATGAAAGGTAATCAGCCTTTTTTATTCACCAAGGAGTCCTGTTTCTTTTAGTGGGAAACAGTTTTTAAAGAACACATCTGGGTGCTGAGATTTGTCACTTCTTTTTTGAGTCCTTTAAATTGCTTTGACACCTTTGTAAAATATTGACCATATGTATGAGTCTATTTTTAAGATTCTCTATTTATTCCATTGATATGTTTCTCTCTTTATGCCAATATCATGCTCTCCTAATTACTACAGCATTGATAAGCCTTGAAGTCAGGTAATGAGTTCTCAAATTTGTTCTCGTTATTTATTTTCTTTAAATTTTTATTCACTTATTTGGAGAGAGAGAAAGAGCACACATGCATGCATGTGGAAGGGCAGAGAGAGGGAGAAAGAGAAAAAAAGAGAGAGAGAGAGAGGAGGAAGAGAGAGAGAGAGAGAGAGAGAGAGAGAGAGAGAGAGAGAGAGAATCCTAATCAGGCTCCACACTGTCAGCACAGAGCCCAACGTGGGGCTCAAACTCACAAACCTTGAGATCATGACCTGAGCAGAAACCAAGAGTAGGATGTTTAACTGACTGAGCCATCCAGGCACCCCTAAATTTGTTCTTTTTAAAGATTTTCTTGGCCATTCACTTTTCTTTGCATTTGCTTATAAATTTTAAAATGAACTGTCAATTTGCACCCCCCAAAAAAATGTCTGTTGGAATTTTCATTGGGATTTTACTGAATCGATAGACCAAATTGGAAGTAAATGATATCCTAGCAGTATTAAGTCTTTTGGTTCATGAACATGATACATCTCTGTGTATATTTAGGTCTTCTTTTATTTTTTTTTGCAATGTTTTATAATTTTCAGTGTAAAAATCTTACACAAATTTCATTAGATATATTCTTAGATATTTGATATTTTGAATGGTATTTTTAAAATTTCATTTTCTAGTTGCTTTCCACTCATACAAAGAAATACAATTTATTTTTGTTATACTGACTTTATGGGCTGTTATTTTATTAGTTCTAGTAGTTGCTTTTTAGAGGCCTAAAGAGTTGGAATTTTCTATATAAAAATTCATAGTGTTCCTTTCTAATCTGCATGTCTTTTGTTTCTTTATCTGCCCTATTGCACTTGTCAGGATATCTGGCATGATATTGAACAAAAGTGGTGTGAGCAGATGTCCTTACTTTTTCCAGTCTTTGAGGGAAACACACAATAATTTCACCATTAAGTATGATGTTAACAGTAGATACTAATTTTTATCAGGTATTCTTAGTTTCCTGAGAGTCTCTAACATCAGTGACATTGCTTTTGTTTTGCTTCCAACTGTATTAGTCTCTTATTATTCTTTTGATAACCTCTTTCAGAGTTAACTACTTCTGTTTTGAGGTAATAAAATGTATAATGATCCACTTCACATTTGGTGCTCTATGTATATGGTCTTTTCCTTTATTTCAACTTAGAATTAAGACTTATAATTCTTGTTTTTTGTTTTTTGTTTTCATTTATCAGTCCCAAAAGTAGTTTTCCCCGTAGAAATTATCTGAACATAGTCTTATGCTTTCTAGTAGTAGTCTACAGCCAGGCTCTATCTTTCTAAGAACACTAGAAGACACTTAGTTTATTTTTTTTTCAATATATGAAGTTTATTGTCAAATTGGTTTCCATACAACACCCAGTGCTCATCCCAAAAGGTGCCCTCCTCAATACCCATCACCCACCCTCCCCGCCCTCCCACCCCCCATCAACCCTCAGTTTGTTCTCAGTTTGTAAGAGTCTCTTATGCTTTTGGCTGTTTCCCACTCTAACCTCTTTTTTTTTTCCTTCCCCTCCCCCATG